CCTGCTTCAGCGCCAGCACCCACGGGTGAGAGCTGCCCCGGGGACGGGCTCGGGGTCCCACCGGCAGTGGGGACATCAATACCTCTGTTAGGATTAGGGCGTGCTTCCCTCACACATTGGGGGGCTGCTGGGGCTGGAGGTGGGGGTACGGGGGGGGGTCAGATTCTCGGCGTGTCCTGTGCAGGGCGAGCTGGTGCAGGAGGAGCTGTTCGTGGCTGTGGAGATGCTTTCGGCCGTGGCGCTGGTTAACCGAGCTTTGGATGCCAGGGATGCCGACGGGCTCTGGAGCAGCCTGGTCAGCCCTGCCCTGGGTCTCTCCGGCGTGGAGGACGCAAACGCGCAGCGGTAAGGAGGTGGTCGCTGCGTTTGGGGTGAGGGATGTAGAGGGATCCCTTGGAGGGGATGGTCAGGGAGGTCTGGGCTTTGCGTGGGCTTGTCCCACCAGCCTCCCTGCCCTGTGCCGTACCCTTTCCCCTTTGGAAAGCATGGCAAGGCAAGGCAGCGGGCTCTGGCAGGCGCCGTTCCTGCTTCAAATGCACCGAGCCATTGTCCTGTGCTTCTCCTGCAGGTATTTTGAGGACTTACTGCGGCTGAAAGGCCAATCCAGGGAAGCGGGAGCTGAGTTCCTGAGCTGGAATGACATTCAGGACAGTGTGACCAACACCAATTCATCAGTGGAAGACGAAAACGACCGTGAGTCCTGCTTGCGTGGCGTTTGGTCGAGCGGGGGGGTTCTGCAAACTTCCTGGGAGGGAGGTTGCACTGGGAGCCCAGCCCTAATGAGAGACTAGAGAACCTCGTGCTACCCTGGGCTGTGACCCCACCGGGTGCCCAGAGCATCACGGAGGGGAGGAAGTGGGGCTTAACCGCATGTCCCTTCCCTCCCACGCAGGAGTCCTGGCTGTCCGGCTGATCAACGAGGCGCTGGTGCAGGCGGACCCCGAGAAGACGCTGGCAGCGTTGCGGCGGGAGAAGAGGCTGGCGCCGTTGCCCCTGCCAGCGGCCGCTCTGCCCAACGTCACCCTCCCGACCGCTCAGCGCTATCACCACGTCCTGGCCCGGGCGCGAAGGCTGAAAGCCCAGGTGGGGTGACATCCCCCTCGACCATGTGGTACCCTCCCCTGGCTGTGCAGTATCCTTCCCCTTGGCAGCGTGGCATCCCCCCTGACCATGCAGCACCCTACCCTGGCAGCATGGCATCCCTCCCAGCAGCGTGGCATCTGCCCCTGACCGTATGGTGCCACCATTGGGATCTTGACATCCCCCGTTGTCAACAAGACATCCCCCCTCGCCATGCAGTATCCCTCTTTGGCAGCGTGGCATCCCCCCTGACCATGCAGCATCTCCCTTTGGCAGCATGGCGTCCCCCCTGACCATGCAGCACCCCACCCTGGCAGCGTGGCATCCCCCCCTGCCATGCAGCACCCTACCCTGGCAGCATGGCATCCCTCCCAGCAGCGTGGCATCTGCCCCTGACCATATGGTGCCACTATCGGGAGCTTGGCATCCCCCTTGTCAGCGTGGCATCACTCCTGGCCATGTGGTACACCCCCTTGTCAGTGTGGCATCCCCCCTGGCCATGCAGCATCCCCCTTTGGCAGCGTGGCATCCCCCTCTGACCATGTGGTACCGTCACCAGGAGCTTGGCATCCCCTGCCAGCAGCATGGCATCCCCCTGGCCATGCAGCATCCCCCTTTGGCAGCGTGGCATCCCCCTCTGACCATGTGGTACCGTCACCAGGAGCTTGGCATCCCCTGCCAGCAGCATGGCATCCCCCTGGCCATGCAGCATCCCCCCTTGGTAGGGTGGCACCCTGCGAAGCAGAAGGTGCTCGAGGGGTGATGTAGTGCAGGACCAGCACGACTGAAGCTCTCGGGGTGGGGGTGGGGGCTGCCAAGCTCGTTAGACCCCATCTTACCCCCCCATCATCTCCCCCTGTCCCGCAGGCCACAAAGGACGATGGAGCTGTTCTTTGGTGGGAAGAGATCCAGGATGGGGTCTGCAGAGCCAACCAGGACACGGTGGCAGCCAGGAGGAGTGAGTGCTTGCCCCGGCGTGGGTGCTGGGTGCCGCTGGGGGGGGGGGAGGTGAGAAGGGGCCGACCTGAGCCCCCTCTGCTCCCGCAGTGGCTCTGGGCACTGCCGCCATCAACCAGGCTATCAAGGAGGGGAAGGCGGCGCAGACCCTGCGGGTGCTGCGCAACCCCGACGTGGCCCTGTGCGGCGTGGTGAGTGCCTGTGCCGCAGCGTACCAGGAGCACCTGGCAGCTCTGATGGCCACCAAGAGACAAACAGGTAAAAAGGGGGCTCCAGGAGAGCTGGGGGGGGACTCTGGGTCAGGGAGGGGAGCCGTGGGACAAGGGAGAACGCTTTGACACTGACAGAGGGGAGATTGAGGTGAGACCTGGGGAAGAAATTGTTGGCTGTGCGGGTGGTGAGCCCCTGGGGCAGGTTGCCCCGAGAAGCTGTGGCTGCCCCATCCCTGGAGGTGGTCAAGGCCAGGTTGGACGGGGCTTGGAGCAACCTGGGATGGGGGGAGGTGGCCCTGTCCAGGGCAGGGGGTGGAACGAGATGGTCTTCAAGGTCCCTTCCAACTCAAACCACTCTACGATTCTATGAGATGTTCTGAGAGATGCTCTGTGATGCGGTGGAGGCACCCGGTTGCTCTCCTGCAGACCCTGTGCTGCCACAGCCCCTTCCCAGCCGGCAGCTCCTGTGTTGGGACCCCCCCACACCTTAAGTGGGGTTGCTGGAGAGACACCGAGACTCCCCGGGCACTGGAGACTGTGACCGCTCTTTGGGCAGGGCGGATTCCCACCACCACTACTATATGATTCTACGATACACTCTGAGAGATGCTCTGAGGACTGTGGGGTACTGCATCTGGGGAGATATAACCCCCCACACCAGTACAGGTTGGGGGCTGACCTCCTGGAGAGCAGCTCTGTGGAAAGGGACCTGGGAGTCCTGGTGGCCAACAGGATGACCATGAGTCAGCAATGTATCCTGGTGGCCAAGAAGGCCAATGGCATCCTGGGGGGCATCAAGCAGAGTGTGGCCAGCAGGTGGAGGGAGGTCATCCTCACCTCTGCTCTGCCCTGGTGAGGCCACATCTGGAGTACTGCGTCCAGTTCGGGGCTCCCCAGGTCAAGAAGGACTGGGAACTGCTGGAGAGGGTCCAGCAAAGGGCTACGGAGATGCTGAGGGGACTGGAGCATCTCTCTGATGAGGAAAGGCTGAGGGACGTGGGGCTCTTTATTCTAGAGAAAAGAAGACTGAGGGGGGATCTTATTAATACTTACAAATACTCCAAGGGAGGTGCCAGGGGGATGGGCACAGTCTTTTTTCAGTGGTGCCCAGTGATGGGACAAGGGGTAATGGGCACAAACTTGAACATAGGAAGTTCCATCTTAACATGAGGAGGAACTTCTTTACTTTGAGGGTACTGGAGCAGTGGCACAGGCTGCCCAGAGAGGTGGGGGAGTCTCCCCCTCTGGAGCCATCCCAAACCCGCCTGGACGCCGTCCTGTGCCACTGCTGGAGGTGCCCCTGCTCTGGCGGGGGGTGGGATGGGGGAGCTCCAGAGGGCCCTTCCAGCCCTGACCCGTCTGGCATTCTGGGCATCGCTGGCAGCCGGGCCCCGCGTTCAGCGCGTGCGATCACATAACGTGATTAATGTCTCCATGGAGAGCTCCCGGGGGAGCGCGCAGCCGCCGCCGTGGGGGCCGTGTCCTGC